TTTCTAGACCTTATCTGATGATGTCTGTGCGGCAGTGGTTGATGCCATTCGAGCCCGTCTGGAAAAACACCTTCCAACTTTGGAGGTAAGGATCCTATAAAGCATCAAAAACACGGTATTTAAGACGGCCATGTTCTCGCTCTCAATTCTGAAGGAAGAGATGCACAAAAATGCCACCTTCACGATCCCCTACATTCCTCTGACTGTATTCTTGCTCATCACCTTCTCTGTGGGATCATGGTAAGGTGAAAAAGGCTTGCTGGTATGAGCTGGCTTTAACTAACGGAAAATTATCATTCCGAAAAGTAAAAAAACTTCTGCGCATTGCGATGTGTTGCCCGGTAGCGGCTCCTAGCAATGAGCCAAAAAGCAAAAAGGTAGGTCTTGGCCGGGATCGAACCGGCGACCTTCTGCGTGTGAAGCAGACGTGATAACCACTACACCACAAGACCACGAGAGGCGGCCCTGGGAGGGGTCTATGAGGGGAAGGGGATTCGTCACCGGTCCAAAGGGGAAAACAAGGCCGTGTCCAAGGAACAAAACACGGAAAGGGAAAAAGTAATTATAACAATAGCAATAATATTCCTAAATTTAAAGCATGACTGGCGATTGGATCACCTCGAAACCGATTGAGGCTGTTGTCGGTGTTTTCACCTCTACCCTGGCCATCATGAGCGCGGCCGGAATTTTGTTTGCGATCGGGACGCCGTTTGTGCATCAGGTAACTTTTGGAATTAGGTTTGTATCTATCGGTTTTCATGAACACTCACCAAAAAAGCGTAAATCACCCTGAAAAGACCAGATTTCTTAGCTATATTGATGGGTAGGGTAGTCTGGTTTTTTGAGTAAATCCTAGTTACCGAAAAATTTTAGGGCTTTGGAAAGCGATAAATTGATTTTTTCAGGTGACTGTCATGCCCTTTCTGGCCCTAGCAATTGGAGTGGATGATACCTTCGTAATGCTAGGGGCTTGGCAAGACACTAGAAGAACTTTGTCACCCGAAAAACGAATGGCGTTGACGTTGGAAGAAGCTGGGTGGTAAGTAATTTCTCATTTCGAACGGGATAAAGAAGAAAAAGAAGTAATACCGACTTTTTAGCGCCATCTCCGTCACCACTCTCACATCCGTGCTGTCATTTGGCATCGGAACCTACAGCAGTACTCCCGCTATCTCTATTTTCTGCAAATTCATCGCGCTGGCCCTCTTTTTCGATTGGTTCTATCAAGTAAGTTAATAGATTGAAGACTATTAGGGACATTAAATGATTGTATCGAAGTCGTAAAGTTAAAAACAATTTTTAAGCTAACTTTCTTTGCTGGAGTGATGGTACTGGGTGGCCGTCGTGAAGCCGCCGGATATCACTCGGTTTTCGTGTGGAAGCGCATGCCAAAAGAGGAGATTGAGAAAGTAGGCAAATTTTTTCGAAGTTTACGGCGTCCGCTTGAGGCTAAGCAACCAGATGCCATATCCCCAACTCGATACCTCTTCGAGAACAAGCTGGCCCCGTTTTTGTGCAAGCCGAGCACGAGGATGGTTTTGGTGAGTTCTATTCGATTTAAAGATTTTCTCAGGAATTGGAGCAGTAAAAACAGTTTAATAAACCTGAATACCTTTCAGATCTGCCTCTACGGCGTCTACATAGCCACCGCTTTTTACGGTTGCTCCCTGCTGACACCTAATTTGACACCTAGCAGGTTGAGATCAAAAATTAACAAAACTTACCTAAATTTTAGACTGGTGGTTGATGACTCGCCTCTAATCCATTACCTACACCTTGCTGAGAACCACATTTGGGCCGAGGGACTGATCGGGCTCGTCTACGTCAACAATGCTCCCGACTTTTCAAAGCATCCTGAAGAGGTAGGGTATCTCAAACTAGAAAACTCATAGTCAAGCTAAAACGAATGTAAAGCGGCTAAGTAACGTAAAAAAGAGTAAGAGTAGCATGTGATAAGAAACCATTCATAAACAGTTCAAGGATATAATAAAAGGTAGTAACATGGTTGAACATCTATTAAAAGAGGTGAAAACCGCCTAGGGTTTTCTCACCTCACTCAAAACTGTAAAAACAGCGAGGATGATAAGAAAAAGTGCGCAATCTAGCCATAAACTCTATAAAACGCAAGTCGAAGAGTCAATTACGTTAAATATCGCTATAAAACGGCAATTTGAAGTCGTGAGGTTCATCAAGACCCGAAAAAGCCATGAAGTATCCGTTCGTTGTTGCCCTTACATTACATTAACTTTACCTTTACATTGAGGCTTTGACCGCATATCAAAATGGAACCATCAAAGAATGATTCATTGAAAATTTATTTAAGCACGTTACCTAGCGCAAAATTCATATGATGAACGGCAAAAAGGTATCGTTTCCTTGGCCGAAGAGGACGAGGGCCATGAATTGCCGGCGCGAGCAGAATTTTGGAACTACGTGGTCAATTCGACCGAATTTCGAGGCAAGCATCTGACCTACGGGCGGCTCGCCGTCTCGAACGGTTAACGAGGATCCGTGGGACGCCAATCAAGACTAAAGATTCAGCGGACAAAGGCGATCAAATTTAGTCTAAAGGGCGCGCCGGCGAGGGAGCGAATGGCCCTTTCGTCTTATATAGGGTGGGCCAGGGGAGTGGGCCAGGTAGTGCGCGTTTCGGGGGCGCAGAGGGAGCAGCGCGTTAGAGGGGGGTTTGTTAGTAAACAATATACCTTACCTCAGTGTTAGGCGCATATCCCCTAAAATATCTTGACCAGAGGCTGACGGTAATGACCCAGCCAAACCAGGGCACTTGGTTAAGAGAATATCAGTAAGAGAATACCCTTTAATACGCAACCCTCAATTTTAAATTTAGATAGCGGTTTTTTTACCTTTCTATTTGATCGGAATTAATGCTAAATAATTCACATTTAGAAAACAAGAAATAAAGGCAACTGTTTGAAAGAATCTAACTAATTCAACGGTAATTCTGCAAGTTCTTGATTTCGACCACTTACGAATGTCTTTCTTGTTGGTCTTAATTAATAGTCGTAAACATTTAAACTAAAAAACAAGAACAAAAAAAATCTGAAAGTCCTAAGAATAACATCGATAAAGAAAAAAGCATAAAATTCAGAATTATCGATTTTTGTACTCAGCTTAACCTTTTTTAGGTTTCTGCAGGCTCTCTATGATTATACTAAGAAGCATTTATAATAACGTTTACATTTATTAACGCACGAGAACTCATATAATTTTTCTTTTTTCAGATAGAAAGAATGCTCAAATTTGTCTCCGAACTCGAAAATACACCATATTCGATGGGCCCGAATTCGACGAGGCTCTGGTTGCGAGATTTTAATGAATATCGGTGAGGCACTCTTTTTTATGGTAGGCGTCCATTATTTTAGCCAATTCTTTGCCGAAGATGATGCTCATTTTTACGAGACGCTGAAGTCGTTCACTCATGTGTCTTTCAACACCCATTGGGCGTCGAATTTGAGATGGGCGCCGCGATCGAATAAGGTCAGTGAAAATTTTGTAATTTTATGGCTTTTAGTACCTTGAAAAGACGCAGATCATCAAATTTCAGACAAACGACGAATACGTTAACAAATTCTACTTTACCACGGCTTTTGCCATTCAAGGGTGGAACGTTCGGACCGAATTGTTATTATGGTGGAGGAATATTACCGCAAAGTGAGTCTCTCTCTCTCTCTCCCTCTCTCTTTCTGTTTCTCTCTCGCTCTCTTGCCCTTGCTAACCGTTTTTTCCAGATACCCCGAGTACGACGCTATCGTCTTTGATGAGAACAACTTCTACAGCGACCAAATGTTGGAACTACAGACTACAACTTTACAATCCTTGGGAACGGCCATTCTAACGCTAATTACCGTCTGCGTACTATTCGTCGCAGAATCATCGATCGTCTTCTGGGTCGTTTTTACGCTCATTTCGATGGATATCGGCACAGCCGGATTTTTATCGTTATGGGGTGCTGATCTGGAGCCAACCACTGTTGTGAACATTTTGGTAAGATCACGACGGCTCTCTCTCTCGCTTTCTGTCTCTCTCTCTCTCTCTCTCTTTATAGCAATAGTTTTAGATGTCGATTGGCCAATGCATTGATTTTGCCACTCATGTGGGCTACCGTATCTACAGATCTGAGAAAAAGGATCCAACAGAGCGGATCAAGGATTCATTAGGAGCGATCGGATGGCCAGTTTTGCAAGGCGGGCTAGCGACGTTACTAGGTAAGCAGAAGATACGATAATTCTCCAATTCCTCAATGGTCTTTGCTAACTCCCCTAAACAGGAAAACTAAAAAATCTTAAAAAAAGCCCATAAAAATCCGATTACCAGCTATTCTCGTCATGATCCGAGTACCTTCCAACGCTGTTCGGATGTTTGCCAGAACCTCAGTGCTTGTGGTGGCCACAGGACTATTTCATGGCCTCCTGATTTTACCAGTCATTGTCCGCTCGTTTGCATCAGGTATAAAATTCCTAAATCTTATTACTTACCGTGATCCGTTTAGATGCCGCCGCTCACTCCGATAAACTTGCTGAAATCGCGCAGAAAAAGGCCCTGAAGAGCAGCGACAGCCGGAAGACTTTGAAGGAATGATCATGAAGCGGGATTTCCATGGTTCTCTGTAAATGGTTTCGTAAATTCGGACTTCCTAGTCTCTTAAAAATCAGTTTCGTTTTTGCATTTTTGCATCTGCCTTTGTTTGATCCATTTTATCACATTTAAAGTACCTCCCCACCGTCTTTCGTTTTCCTATTTTGCACTTTTAGGTCCACTTTTTGGTATTCCTTACGAGTAGTTACTTCTCTTCCAAATACCCTCTAACACCCATGTGATTTGCCGGTTCGGCCTTGTTATCCGCTTCCCCACGCAAAACATAGCTCTTGTTCTTGTCGATCTCTAGTCGCCGCCCATGCCTTTATTCGACTTGTCTGTTGCATAAATTGGGAATTAAAACTAATAGAAATTTTGAAAACAAACCACCGGCTCCTAACTTCAGGATCTGAAACGCGGTATTCCATAAGTTTTGGAGGTGCCAAAACGAGAATAAGGCGTAAATTTAGTTTTATCAGATTAGTTGTGCATGATTGCGAAAACAATGTCATCTTTTGTTCACGCGTATGAAATCCGAGCCCAGCTGATTTCTTGGACCAATCGACAAGGATCGTACCATTAATGCACCAATGCAAAGTCAAGGCCCAGGCTGGAAAGGCCGAATTCTGGGCAAAACGTGGCACTCCGCAAGACGTAATTTTTGGTCCTTCTATTGCGTGCTTATCTGCTCCCCACCACGTCTTTTTACTGAAGACCAGGGCCTTGTAATGCTGGCATTAGTGCGTAAGTCCGCTTCCCCGAACCAGCTTGAAAGGGGGCTGGACGCGAATTTTTGGTCTTTCCGGTGTGTACTTATCGCCTCCCACAGAACCATGTCTCACTGTGGAACTGTTCCAGCTCTACCTTGCCTATCAATGCATCAATCTCGCAATTCCGTTCAGCTACAGTACTAACACGTTGTTCCATAGGTCGCGAAACGACTTCATTCTGTGCAAAAACTTCTCTTGATACCCGGTCAATTGGTGCTCTAATCGGGCCTCACTTTTCCCGGTATCTCTCCCTCTCTCGCTCTCTCTCTCTCTCGCTCTCTCTTCCTTTCGCATTCCCTCACTCCTGGACAAAATTTCATATTACTTTACTATTCACCTCCCAACTTCCACCGCGTACTTACCTGGGGCCCCACCCCGACCCTGCCTACTCCAAAACTAGTCCACCCAAGCCTAGGACCCAACCGGTCCTCTACCTGGGCCCCAAGCAGCAGCAGCTCCCATTGGACCCACTACCCCACTCTGTCTGTCTGTCCGTCTCTTCGGGTGTTTGTGCCCCTGTCACGCGGAAATCGGCGCGGCCACCAGCGCCGCGCCAAATTTTTTTTTGCTGGGCCGACCATGGTGCGCGCAGCCCCGGACACGCGTCTATCTCTACTTTGCGACGCTTTTTGTGTGGGGTGTAAGAAGGCACGTAATGGGAGTGGTTGGCCTAGGGTAGTGTTCGCATTCGGCATTGTTCTTGTTCTCGTAGCATCGTGTCTGGTGATTTTGGCCTTTTCCCTGTTCTTGGAGTTGATTTACCACTACGTTATCTTTAAGAATAGTTAAGTCGTTCCTAGATAATTTCTGGCCCTTTTTTCGTTGTATTTTTTTATTTGGATTAATTTTTGGCGGCGTCAACCTCAATTTAGGAGCTTGCGCTCATTACTGTTATTGAAAGAATAGAACTCTAGTTTCGCCTTCGGAAAAATTGAAACAATTAGGAATTTCAGTTTTTCCAAAAATTTTGGTTCCGAAACTATTCTAATTCTAGAAACTTCTTATATTTCAGTTTTACGTTGTGATTCTGAGTAGTTTTAGGCGGCTGGCAGCGCTAAATTCGGCATTTCTGATAGGCAATATAATTTTTTCCGGCATTAAAGATATCTTATGTCTTTCTTAACCTACTAGTGGTCATTTTCGAACAAAAAATGGATTCTTTAAAGTCGTTGAAATTCACGTCGATCAGCTTCTGACAGTTAAAGTTTAAGTAAACTTGAAGCCACGCCGCTCTTTTCGGTGATAAACAAAAAGGTTCTTTCTTTCATTTCGCTGTATTTTTAAATAGATAAACTATGCTTGTAGCTTCACGTCATGGTCGTTTTTGCTTTCTTCATGCCACGCTATCCATAATTTGTTTTGAAATTCGACACCCCCGCGCCCACTTACGTTTTTCCAAGACACCCCGGCCTTTGCAAATGTCTAATCCCCCTTTATTTACCCGACAACTGAATCACACTCAACGTCTTGCCAGCCAGCCAGCCAGTCAGACGAACACACGCTACACGAGACTCTCCAAGAGACTCTTTTGTGGGGATACCATCAAAAGCCATCAAAATTCCTAGAGGATTTGTCAGCTGGGGCGGATACCTGAATTCTTGGCATAGTTTTTGGCGTTAGTCAGAGGTCCTCGCGTGGTCTTTTATTATCCGAAGCTGACGCCTATTGTTTTGCAGTTCCTATGGATTTCTATGGCTTCAAATATCTATTTATTTTGGAGAATTTGAACGTCTTGATGTTTTACAAAAATAGTGCTTGCGTTTTTGAGCTGTCTAATGTTTTTAGAAGCTAAAAAGGCAGTAACCATGAGTTCATTCTCATTTTTAATCGCTTCTTGCTACGCTATGCGCCTTTCTGATTAGAGGGAGAAATCTTCCTTTTTTTTCTCTGATCGACCATCCAGAGGCATCCTCTAAAGCTCTCAAAATCCGGCGAGTGAGTGTAGTTACAAGTTTGCACAGAGCTTTCCCCTTCCTTGCCCCCATCTAGACGCTAGAAGCTGCAGTCAGGAATTTGCTCGGAGGCTCCTGGACATCTTGTTTCCATAGTATTTTTGCGGTAAAGCTTTCGTAAACTTTAACTAAATTTTAGTCAAATTAACGTTTTTCGCGAGAGTTTTGGAAGCATGTTTTGGTTTTGGTCATGGAGGAGGGCGTTTGGCAACGGTTCTTAAGGAATAGGCTTCGGAAGGTCACACCTAGAGGGACGCTAGCGGAGATCGTGCAACACGCGGGTTGCAGGGCCTGGAATGCAATCTCGCAAAACTCGCGTGCCTTTTTTGTGGACAGTTGAAGCTTGAGAAAGCCTAGGAAGGCGAGACACTTACTGTTAGAGGGCTAGTTAGCAAAGGTTCTTTGGGAATCTACAATCAGAGCGACGATGCCTAGAGGGCAAACTAGCAAATACCCCTCACTAGGTATCACCCCTTATCCGCGGACTTTAGTGTGATCATGTGTGTGTGTGTGGGTAGATGTTGGTGATTGTGATGGTGGTGGGGGACGTCGACCCGATGCTGCTGCTGGGTGGGTCTTCTGTTTGCGCTGTGCTCGATTGATCTGAACTGCCCTCCTTTCCCCCTTCGGTCCTCCCCCCACCATTCCTCTAGCCCCAGAAGAGATTGCAAATAGCACCTTTTCGGAACGATCCCCTCCAGCAGTCGCCCTCAAAGGCCAACACACACGGGTTTGTAGCCTCAGGGGGTCCTTAGCGCCGCGATTAGCATGGGTAAGCGGGTTAAGGTTTTGGGAAGAAGTGGAATTTGGAACTTTTCGTAGTTTTGGAGCGTAATTTAGGTGTTTAGCGGCTAAAAAACGTTTTTTTACTGTCTCGCTCTCACTGTCTCGCTTGCTCTCCGGCACTCGTTCGCTCTCTCTCTCTCTCGCTTTCTCTCTCTACCTCTCTCTATGTCTCTTTCTCTCTCTATCTATATCACTCTCTCTCTCTCACTTTCTGGCTCTCTCTTCCCTCCAGCTTTCTAAAACCGCTAAAATTACTAAAAATTCGTCCTTCTATACAGTCCTGCTACCGTCCCTTTAAAACAATGTTATTTACCTACAAACACTCCTTCACGCTCTCTCTTTCTCTGGCTCTCTCTCATTCTCGCTCCCTCTCGTTCTCTCTCGCCATCCCTCTCGCTCGCTCTCGTTCTCTTTCTCTCGCTCTCTCACTCGCTCTTTTCGCTCTCGCTTTCCCTCTCTCGCTCTCTCTCGCGCTCTTTCTCTTTTTCGAACTTTGAAGCAAAGATTTATCCTGGATGTTGTTGAATTTTAGCGATTTCATACCCTTAATAACTATCTCTCACTCATACCGTAAACAGTACGAAACGATACCCCCATTCCAGCTGACTGGAAGTGGCCCCTTGGTGTGTGTTCGACTTCTCTTCCTTTTCCTTCTCCCTCTTCTTTCTTTTGTCGGGTCAAGTATGGTCTGGTTGTGGTGGGTATTGTAGACCAGGGCCGGTTCAAGGCCGGCTGGTCAACGATCCGAAATCTCGAATTCTCCGGCCGCTCGGATGATGCCGTTTTTAGCATTTTCTAACACTTCCATGTGTTTTACAGGATTCCATGCATAATTTTCGATCGTTTTTTCTCAGCTACATCTAAAAATTATACGTGTTGTTCGAAGATTACGGAAATGTTAATGACAATATCCCATCTTCTGAAATTTTTGAGATAGTATCAGGTAACAAGTTTTAAGGCTTATTTTTGACGCTTGAAAATCTAACGATCAGGCCTAAATAATGGTTTTAATTTGAATAGGTTAACGGACAAGTTTTTCCTTCTCACCATTTTTTGATGCATTTTGAGCTCAAACAAACCCTGTTAAATTGAGTTTTTAACCAAGCTTCAACTTTAAAGAATCAATACCTCTAGAGGGTTTTAAATTCCTGTCTGTCAATGTAAATCTACATCCCAAAAACTCCAATTTGTGGAATACGTCAGAAATCAAAGATAACCAGCAAAAACCCATGTTTTTCCCTATCTTTTTCTTTTGGCATGTTCTCACTGGTTTGCCATCACCCGCTTCGGGGGGTTGAGGGCTTTTATGGCCCTCGGGGGTTGAGAAAGGGGGATGGCATTCCCATTGGTTCGTGTATTCAAATGGCCTCTACCATTCCTTTCTCGCCATTCATTCGCCTTCTCCACATTTGGAATAGTTACCCGGACAAGTTTTTTGTCCGGCTGATTCGGTGTTTTCTACGCTAAAGTCTTTCTGTATTTTGGCAGCATC